TGACTCTTGATTTGTGACTTGTGACCTGGCTGTGACTTGTGACATGGACTGTGACTTGTGACCTGGGTTGTGACCGTAAAAAAAATGTCAACTGTACAAAAAAATAGAACGGAGTTGTCGCCGGAATATTCGCCGGAATTGGAACAACTGCCGGATCAGAGCAGTCGCCGGAAAAAATCGACGTCGGAACGGTTGCCGGAATAGTTGCCGGAACGGTCACCGGAATCGGAGTAGTCGCCGGACGGTCGTCGGAAAGTTCGTCGGAGTAGAACGGTGATCGGAATGGTCGCCGAAACGGTAGAGGTGGGATGGATTAATTATATTATATTAGAATTAAATATTTAATAATAAATTAATTTAATAATTTATTATTTCATAAATAAAAATTTTAGAAATTCTAATAAAAATCTGATTTTGGTAATTTCAAACTTGTTTTCTTATTTTTGAAATAAGCTAAACTTATTCTCTTAAATATGTAATCTTCCCATTAAATAATTTAGGAATGCCCATTAATTAAACAATTAGTTATTCAAAATGTCCATTAACAAGACTTAACCCAACATTTTATACGTACCATTCTTTCAATACGAAGTTACAAATGCACATAGATTATTTTCTTGTTTTAATAACAAATTTGTGACAACGATAATCCACATTTTTTGTGGGTCTCACATAATTAATAAATTAAACAAATAATTCTTCCACTTCAAGCATTTAAATTAATGTGTTGAAAACTAATGGTGGATTGCATAAAACGATTAGATTTGTTGGTAATTAGTGTGTCATATTATCGGTGTTTAGGAGTATATATTTTCCAAAAGTTTTGCTAAGCCAAGTCATTCATTAGTAGAACATTTCATGCTCAAGTTGTTAGTTCTACATTTTAATATGTTAATATTGACCTTGCATCCAAGTAACTTTTAATGTGGTATTCGTTACAGCTAAGATGAGATTGAGACAAACCATAGATTGTGCAGTTCTAATATCGCAATTGATTGCCAACAATTGGGACCCAATCCAAACTCAGCCATGGATCTCATATCAAGATTTCCATTATAATCTGTCTGCACCTACAAAATCCAGCACCATCTCTAGCAAGTATAACTACACCAGCTCTAGGAAGACAAGGAAAACACTGAACTGCATTCCGATGCTAGCTGCTTTTTTCCACTGCTCATATATATGCTGAACAGTTGACAATATCTGATGCTAGGCCTAGTACGCCCAAATGTTCGATTAACTATCAGTTTCAACTGCAATGCTAGGCCTGGAGCATCCCAATGTATCGGGCTCCTATTTTTGGTATGTCAACACTATCGTTGCACGCCAAAAAGGTGGGTCATGACATCCCGAGCTGCGGGCCAGACCCAAATGACCTAGTTTTGTATAGCTTACATGCTCAGAATAGCGAGCCCCTCTAGAGGAAATTTTTTCCAAAGTGAACCACTTTTACAAGATCAACATCATTCATGAACTTGTGCAATGTAGTAGTTGGCGTTACCCACCACATGCCAGCCTACCTAGCAATAGTAGACTAAGGAACCATCACAATGCAAATAAATAGTACGTACACCAACCATGTTACAAAGAAATAAATATTTTTATAGCTCGTCTCATCAAATCATAAAAATTCACTCTTCCAGCAATACACAAAGTACATAACATTCTTTTTCAACTAAAATTTAAAGGCAGAATATTTCTAGAGTAATACGAGTTCAGAAGTCATATTGACGGATCATTAAGCCAATTTACAGCCTAATACCGGAAGCGAGCCTCCTCTTTCTTAGGCGCTCAGCAATGATAAAAGCAAGCTCCAAAGATTGAGACGCATTAAGCCTAGGGTCACAGTGGGTGTGGTAACGTGAGCTCAGGTCATCGAATGTAACAGTCTGTGATCCTCCAATGCATTCTGTAACGTTTTGGCCTGTCATCTCCAAATGAACTCCACCAGGATGGCTACCCTCTTGCTCATGTACATCAAAGAATGCTCTCACTTCCGCCTGAAGCCAAAAGATAAATATCAAGAAAACCACATGATATGAGCGTCAATAGCATGACGACAATTGTAAAAATTCTCATAGATAGAGTTAAAATTAATAAATAAATAAGAAAAAAAAGTCCAACCTACAACAATAGATATGTCCAACTCATTGATAAAGACACACACCAACCGATTAACTACTGGAGTTTCATAAAGGAACAAATAAATTTCCAAATAAGATATGCAACCAATCACACATGGACACAATTACCAGGTTGCTTCTTTTTCTCCTACCTACCATACCTGCTTCGTGTGCTTGCTATGAGACCTTACTTAATTCATAAGGAAAACTTAATACATACGTAAATTACATATTTTGCACAAGTCAAAGTGGTTTATCTACCCAAAGCATCTTCAAGCTACTGTTAATTATTCCGTTTATTTAGAGGGTGTTT